AAAATTATTGAGGAGAATATTTTGCATCACATATGACCCTCAAATTAAACACCAATTTATTTATGCTATTGACCCTCAAATTTAGTGCTGAAAACGTCCAACTTCATTATTGTTTTTTCACTTAAAAAAAACTTCATTATTGTTTTTAATTATAATTTGAGCTAAAACTTTCTTCTTGTAAGTTACAGACTGCATTGGGATTTAGGGTCCTCCTTGACCCCATCTGATCCTTACGGCAGAAAGAATTAATTCTTCTTTCTTTTAACAGCTAGTTTGTATTGAAAATTGTTGAACCAATATTTATGACGCATTTAAGAAGGAAAGAAATTCAGCACAAAATTACGAAAGAAAGGAAACAAAAAGCTCTCTCTTGAAGGGCAAAAAGAAAAATAAAATTAAAGTGCTTGAATATAAATTTTCAATAATCCGACAGCCAATAATGCCTAGCTTCCTATCATCCTGTGGCTAGATTGAAACTTTTTATGAAGACCGTGAAAGCTCTCTTTTGGTCGTTATAAAAAAAGAGACCCCGAGATTCATAAGAAAATTGACATAAACCGAATTTTTAATGATTCATGTGTTTTTCACATTAATAATGGGGTCTTTTGGTACTATGTATACGATATATATATATATATATGTATATATATTACTAGGACCTTTTGCTATGTTTTTCACTAGATTTGAAAGGTTTATTACAAGATGAGGCTCATGACAGACTCCCTTAACATTTTTTACATCACAAAAAGCCGGGAAAAGAAAAAAAGAGAAAGTAACAAGCAAAAAAGTCTAGTGTTAGTTGATAATTAATACCTATGCAATAACATTGGTAAGTTTTCACATAAAAAACGGTAAGTTCTGCAATCATATTGGAAACCGAATCATATTGACGAGTTGTGGCAGTTCATGTATATTGGACGCTGCCTAATTCATATTAGACATGATATCGTCTGCTTTGATCCTTAATCTTGGTCTATACAATTTTGTTTTAAAACTTTATTCCAACAAACCTCCTCTTGTTTTTATAGTATTATTTTGAGAGACCTTAATGTATCAATGCAAGATAGGACTTTATTTATGAACCATCATTTATAATATTCTCGAGACGATTTATCTTTTCTTATGATCGTAACTGTCACAAGAAAGTCACAAAATAACTTTGTTTTGTAATGTGTAGGAGTATGAATTTCTGGCTCAATCAAAGGGGCCAGTTAGGTCGGGCTGCTCAACAGCAACTATAAACCAAAACTTCAAGTTGGTGGATGGGCATTTGGATCATATGATTATGTCACAAAAGGATTTTGTTTTGGTTCCATCACTGATCACATGGGATACTAAAAACCTAAAGATCAACAAAAAAAAAAAAAAAATCATTTCTTATCCTAATAAGTCAAAAGGATTTCAATCAAGATGTTTCTTTGGACTAATTCTAGACATGTAGGAACCTCTCTGATCCCTTTGGGGCAGACACAAATTTGTTTTCAAGTTTCAATGGACGTTATTTCTTTCTAACAGAAGAAGTTTGATCATCCTAAATTCCAACAGAAGAAGTTTATTACTCAAAATGATCAAAAGAGGGAAGAAAATTACAGAACAAAAAGAGAAATTTCAAATGTTGTCATTGTGATACCGATGAATCTTCTGCAACTCTACAAAAGTAGTTATAACATCAGCCTCAAGCACTAGACCCACCAATCTGACTTCCCTAACCATGTCAATCCTTTTCCCATTTTCTTATTGTTTATTGATTATATTTAGAATGAAGCGCATTTATTAAATCGTTGTACTAATTGCCAAAGACAAATCCTGAGTTTTACTAAAATATAGCTGCAGATATAGCCTCGCAGTAAATCTATATCTGAACTTTAGCACAAAGATTAGAATTCAAATTCCCCCGCTCTAAATTAAAAAAAAAAAATATATATATATAAGAATAGTATAAATAACTAGTTTATACTATGGAATTTATGCAAAAAAAAATGTTTTTTCAGTTTCTTGATATGTTCAACAGTGAAGAAGATGTAGAATTTTTTTCATAAAAAGTTAAGCTGAAAATTTGGCTCCAACTGATTATAAATCAATGGGTCCTCATGTCGTTAGATAGATAGATTTCTGAGATGTGGGTCTCCAACTTTAAGCTAATGTCTTTGTCGTACATGCTTTAATTCCACGACCTTTGCCATTTGCTAACTTCTTTTGTGTTTTCGACCTTTCCTTGGTCCTGACCATAAAGAGTTGCGGGCCTTCTCTTTTATTGTCTGCAAATGGGCAAATTTGGTTTGCCTTTTTCTCGTTGCTACAGTTAAAAAACCTTTCTTGCAACTTGGCAGTTGGCACTACCTAGTAATTGTCGTTTTTTCTTAATTGTTTTTGAATTATTTTCATAAATACCCTCAAACTATATACTTTATTTCAAAATGTCCCTTGACTTCGCAAAACAGGTCAAAACACCCGATCTCTAGAAAACGTGTCAAATAACCCCCTCCCCCAAAAGCATCCCCCTATTAAGAACCCTAACTCCATCTCTTTTACCCAAAAAAAAAAAAAAAAAGAAGAAGACCCAGCTCCTCTGTACGTAGAAGCTTAAATTAAAAGCAACTATGGCAAGTTCAAACAGTGGAAGCAATTCACGTGCTCCTTGCAATGGTGGGAAATCAAATTTAGATGTTGAATCAACTAGATTTGGACCTGGGGCCGTGTGATTGTAAAGTCCAGAGAGAGGATAATTCGTACCATAAATACCGGTGAAAGTATTGGTAGAAGGTTCTTTAGCTGTAGAAAATATAAGGTAACTAGTTTTGTATTTTGCTAATTTTTTAGTATTTTAACATTGTGAAAGGATTGGAATGAATTAGAGGCTTTTTCCCATTAAAGATTCTATAGAATTTGTTCCTTTTGAAATTCCTTCTTAAACGAAGTTTTGTATTGGTTTTTTCTTTTTTTTTTTTTCTTTTCACGTTGCAGATTGCTCCTTTTTTTTCCTTCACATTACAAAATGCACATATATATATTTATGATTTTCACAACTATTTTTTTTTTTTTGCTTTTTAATATTCACAAGCATAATCAACAACAATGATTTCGTCATTTTACCAAAACAAACACAAACCAAATTTAGTATAACAAAAAAAAAAAAAAAACGTTGATAGACATTAAATATTAAGACTTACCATAGTTGGGAACTCCAAAAAGATCCAAATTAGAGGAGCTTGCCATTGTTCGTGAAACAAAAAGAAAATCCAAACAAGCAGTTTTCAAGTTCGGATCAGCAGAGAAATTTAGGAGAAAGAGTAGGAACCCTAGATATCGTATTTGAGGGATTTTGTTTTTTTTGTTTTTTTAATAAGAAAATGAAGAAAACAATTATACCTAACTTACACTATTTTACTTAAGTGCCCTCCATTCATTGATTTTTTAAGTAAGTATTTTCTGTTCATTTGATACACGGAACTCGACAGAAGGGATTATTTGATACTTTTTTTTTTTTAAATATGGGGTGGTTTGATCCATTTTGCAAAGTCGAGGGCATTTTGAAATAAGATATATAATTTGGGTACATTTATAAAAATAATTCTTTTTTTTTCTTTGTTTCTTAAGTTTACTAAGAAAAGGAAAAAAAAAATCGTTTTTGACACAGTTGATTGATTGTAGCCTTTTGTAAGTTCTACATTGTTTCAATTTCTACCGATTATGGGCCCGTTTAGTTTTCTGATTTGAATTTTTAATTCGAGTTAAAATGTGATTTTATGTGAAAACTTTGACTGTTGTAATAAAGTTAGATGTTACTGTTTATGAGAGTTTTTTTACTGTAGTAAAACTTAAATTTTAAACTCAAATCGGTAAAATAAACGTGATCTTGAGCATTTTCTGTATTATTGCTAATAATGCTATACAGTACAACTTCCATTAGCTGAAATCACAATTAGCGATGCATACGGTTCACTAATTCTAACACACACACACACACACACACACACACACACACACTGACTTTCTCTTGAAAATGTTGAGTTATATTCACTACTTCTAATACTTGTTTTCTTTTAGAAATTTGATTTTGGGATTAGAATTATTTGAGACGGTCTCAACAATGGAAACAATGTAGCCTTTGGGGTCTAATCTTTCAAATAATGTACGTTTTGTTTGTGACCAATCTAAGCAAATTACTTCCTTAGTTAGGATGCAAAGAAAGAAGTTTCTCAACTCTTTTATGAAAAAAAAAAATATAAATATATATTATTGAAATCCCACTATTTCCCATCTTTTTAAGACCTATAAAAGGCTATAAACTTCTTAAGATCTTTTGATGGGGGCTTTTAAGCAAGGGACCGTTTGCAAGGCAATTAGTGACAGGGATTGACAATGAATTGCTTTATGGGACCTATTCAACAAGACTTGACATGTCAATAGGATTAATGGCAAGTTGGGCCAAATTTGGCTTCACCTCTTCTCTTCTTAGCTGACAAAAAAAAAAAGACACGTCATTTCATTTCGTTTCAATATATCAAAACGTAAAAACGACGTTCCAAGATAAAACGACATACTTCCTTAAAAACTTATGAAACAACATATACATTTTAAAAAAATAAATAAATTAAATGACATGCAACTTTTATGTCCCAGAAGAATCACGCGTCGTTTTTCTTTCCCGTACAAATAAAATCAACCATTGACATGTCGTTTGTCATTCTATTTTGACGTGTAGTTTTTCGCTGCCTTTTTAATTCGCGTGAATACATGCCCCTTTTACTTTTAGGCAAAACGAAACGTCGTTTTAATTTCAGGAAACTCACGTACGATTAATCATCCAGGTCACTCAAACAACAGTCAAGACGGATATTTACAGAATGACAAAATGCTATTGTTGCTGCTCAACAAACGAAATGCATTTTAATAAGCTAACGCTGCTTGCCCTCCTTTGTTTAATCGGCACATCGTTATTATGTATGATAAAGTAAAGAACATGCACCACAGCATGAAAAATATGTAGTCCACGTGAAAACAAATCTCGTTCTGTCCCAGGTCCACTAAACAATATGAACAGCAGAAAACGACAAGTCATTTAGATTTTCCAGGAAAAACCAAATGTCGTTGTATTTGTCAAGAGAGAGAGAGAAGAAGAAGAAGAAAGAAGCCAAAATGGCTCAAGAAGCTCTAGTTTATCACTGCGCTATCCTTCCCTAGTATGTATCATCCTCCCTCATTGAATCATTTTTCAATATATATTTGTCAAAAAATTAAAAACAAATGATCAGCTATTATCCATTTATAGGTTTTTCTTCCGAACCAAGCATTTTTATGTCCTGCACCGTGGAAGATGGAAGTGCTACAGATTGGTCAAGTTCGGTATTCTGGCCAATTTCTTGAGAGTAGTGCTCTTCAACGATCTCGTTGTCCGTCGAAAATGGGGAAATTTGATCGGCAAAACTTGGTGACCGAGTGTGATGACCAGAAACAGGATGATCAGGACTAATACTGTTTATGTTTGTAGCCGACGTGTGGTCTATAGTGGTAGAAGAAGAGTCGTTGTGTGTTGATTGTGAAGTGTGATTTTTCTTCCTCTTTTGCTTTGCTTCTTCATGCCATTGCCTTATGGCCTTCGCAGTGTGCTCTTCTAGCACCGCACTCTTGAAATTTGACCCCATCTAATTATATGCGCACATATTTATAAGCCATCAGTCGTATTTTGTAACTTAAACCCAGCATGCATAAACAGGAATTAATTATAAAACTTTAGCGTGTGTGTGCGCATACCTGCGTTACAAGAGCATACAGAGGAAGAGTAACGTAACTGCAAATTAGTTGAACTGTGACTCTGCAATTAATAAAAAAGTTCAGTGAAGTTGATTTCTAACAATAAAACAAATATATATGCTAATTAGCATGCATGAAGATTTGACTGTTAAGAAAGTAAATGTTAATTAATGAACTCATCTTGTACTGCTGTCCGTATTTGTTATGTATACATATATATTGGATGAATCTACGAATTTTCAAGGATTTTTCTAGCATGTACGTTTTGAAATAAGCGATTACCGATTTCAAAAATCTTAGGTTGATTTGGCAAAAAAATGTCTTTTTTTTTTTCCCTTTTGGGAATAACATGATTAAGCTTTAATAAATTTGGAAACTTTGTTCTTAAACTAATAAAGACCTTAGTAAAAAAATATATGCCTTTTTTTCTCCTTTTGGGATAATTTGCAGCTTCTATTTTTCTTAACATATACCATATAGTCAATACTTACGCCAAGACCACCCTTATCACGATAATGTCTGTATGTTCATGGTAGCAAGACTTTATACCAAATTGCCACTGGAAGAAACCAAATGAGAGAGGATTTAAAAAAAAACAAAACAAAAAACAAAAAAACAAAACAGAAGGAAAAAAAAAGTTACGATTTGTATAAACAGAATAAAAACTTTTCAAAAAAGAAAGTGGACATACCGTGACCCAAACAAAGAAAGAAAGCTCGAAAGCATTCTGAAAGAGAGAGAGAGAGAGAGAGAGCAGGGGAAAATTAGAAACAATCAGATTTGAGGTTGCATATATTATAAAGTACCAGAAAGTCGCTCTCTATTCATTTTCAAAATAAGGAAGATATAAAATAGGTAGCAATTAATATTACCATAAACAAAGTTAAATGCAAAAAGGTCAAGACGAATTTGGGATGACCAAACCAGAAGAGGTTATCATTTGGTTGCACCAAAGGACTTCCTATGATCACGTTATTCTTCTCATCAAGCGCATGAGCCATTCTTGCTACAATTACTTCCAGCTTGGTTCCAAGAACAAGCACTATCTACGAATTACCAAAGTAGCATGTATTGCATATTAATTATATACGAAAAGAATCCGTTCAAGCAGTTCTTTTGGTTATTACGAAAAGTAAGTTAATTAATCAAGTATTATTAATTAAGCTTTTGATCAGCAAGTAACAACTTACAAGTAATGGGGCGAATGAGACCCAGAGGTATACATGCCAACCTGTTTTGAGTTCACAAGACCATTTAGACGAAAAACTAGATTTTGGAAGATGGAAAGAAAGTAAAAAAAAATATATATATATATATATATAATGAAACTATAAATAATTAGGAAGTGGAATTCACCGTGCACGTCCACAAGCATGAAGATGACCACTAAAAACCACATGACGGGGCTTCAATGACGCATCAAAAAGCATAAACACCAAGACGTAATTTACGCAAGCCAATTTCCACAAAAAAAAAATAAAAATAAATAAAGTGATCCAAAAGGTGATACCGAAAAAAATCAATAAATAATCTAACTGGTACTGGCTACTTTTTTTTTTTTTTTTTTTTTTTTTTTTTTTCCCCCGTTCTGTGATTGAATAAGGACATTAATGGAGTTAGATCATGATGCAGTATCTATATACCTGATGCCAACTACAACTTTGAAATCATCCTCCAGTGATCTTTGTATGTACTTTTGGAAATCGAATGAATTGTTTGTCGATAAATGAACCTGCAAATTTTGTGAAAGTGATATAGTACTTTTGGTATAAGCACGTATTTTTATGATTTTTTCTATTTATATTAATTTACATAATTGATGCGAGAGGAAACTAAAAACCAGTAATATTAAAGACCAAAGGATATAGATAGTACTACTAACCGCAATGAAACCATGACGTAGGGTAAGATAATCAACTTTTGCAACAGAACGGAAGAATTGTTGGAAGAAGCATTTCTGCATGAATAAAAAGCCAAGCGAAAGTCATTAGAAAAAGATAACAGTATCTGCATGTACATTTTTTCGCACAAATAAAATTTAAATTAAGAAGATTTTCTGGTTCGTTTGACTTACCGGTAGGTCAGATCTTTTTAACCGTTAAATTTGCGTATTTTTTTTATTTTTACGTGATTTTATACGGACGGATAAAAAACTTAACCTATTAACACGTTGGCGAACCGAAAAAAATCCCTTTAAATTAAAGCGAAAGAAAGAAATATATGAAGTGCTCACAATCCATAGAAGCATAGATGACGTTGCTGTACAAGTATTCATATGTCTGCGCGCAAATGTTGTTTGTCTCGTGTACCTAAATCGATAAGGATCTGAGAGAGAGAGAGAGAGAGAGCGCCATATTAGGAATCGCATCATGCATTAGGAAATTATTTTAAAATAAATTTTTAGCTACATTAATAACATAAGAAAAATTCTACTAAAAAAATGATACTCTAGCTTTGTTTCTAACCGTTAAATTTATATATGTTTGATTTGTTTTATATGCTTTTTATTATAAGTGATATTGACCGTATATTGTATATCAAGAAACGTACACTATCAATAGATATTCGTTATCTTTTGCCGAGAGATCTGAAATTGAGAGGACGTTTGGTTAGAGGATTCAAACCATGTGATTCGAATCATTTTCGATTTACGTGAATTTTTTGTGAGAGAAAATACTGTAGCGAATTATGAATCATGATTCGAATAAGGAAACAAATCCATCTACCAAACATCCTCTAAATATCAACATTTTTTGTTCTGTTGTACTTTTCCTATAAGGTCAACTGGCCGAGAATAAGCCCAGCTTTCACATTACTATTCTAACCATTAAATTTTCTAGGGGCTTTTCTCTGTACATATGATCATAAATCCAAGACCAAAAACAGGGAGGTTTCATATATAGAAGAAAATGTCTAATAGTTTCTTAATAACGCTACAAAGAAGTTTAGATAAAATAAAAAAAAAGAGAAATTAATATATGCCTAAATAAAATGGAAATTGAGAACCGTTTATTTGGCTAAACTACCCTCACCGTTCAAAGCTATTACTTCCAAGGTTCAATGGAGTTTCAAGTTTTTCCCACCTCTCCTTTGTCCTTGTTTTTGTCTTTTTATATTAAAAAAAAAGGAAGAAAAAAAATAAAAAAAATACAAAGGAAGTAGGAACACGTATTCTTTATTAATTATTACCATTAGCAACTTGGTATTCCAGCGTTTGAGTTTCCTTCTCCCATTTCTCCCAGCGCCTCATCTATATACATCAAAATCATACATGCAATATAGTTATTATATTTTTTTTGGTTCTTATATATGTACAAAAACTCTAGCTAGAAGAATATTAATCAAGATAGGATCAGCCTCGTTATTAAAAGTTAAATCATTTTCCAACTCTGTAATCAGTAACCTTCCTAGATTAAGACTGAAATCCGCCTATTAAAGAGATGAAAAGGAAAAGGACTTGTCGATAGTAGTGATTAATTTGAACTATTTCACACACACATACATACTATATATATATATATATTAAAAAAAAAAAAAAAAAAAAAAAAAAAAAAAAAACTGATCACACTCAAATAGTTAGTACTTTGTTGAAAGTTGGACCAAATCAACCAATTCTATTGATTATGTTGTCAATGTAAGATTATCATCAATTTCATAAGAATATACATCAAAGCAGTCCACGTGCATGATTTTAAATGAGTTCATGAATTTTTTTCCCTAAAGTTTTTAATGAGTTGAATATAGTTAGACTGAACATTTCTTCAAATTATTTCATGCCCTTGTTTTGTAAATTTACTCGGCGCGCTAATTATTTAGTTTTCTTTGAAGCATGTGATTGATTATTATTTTCTAATTTTCTTTTATAGGGATTGATGATTATATTGAGATGCAATATTTATTCTTTATCTGACTAATTAATAATACTTTTTTATGATTTTCTGACTCAGAGTTCCCACGTCCTATCTCCCGGCCACATGGAGCACGCATATTGACTTGAGTGATCCATAACCTAGTAAACGTTAAGGACGCAGTTTGAAAAATTGGATTGTCTTGATCAAGATTGCCCAAATCTTAAAAGTCAAAACTCTTCCAGAAATGTTGATTCCAATATCTAATTTAGGAAACTATATATGAGTACTATAAACTCCTCCCAAATAACCATGCAGTACAATTGCATGACATAAAAAAATTAAGGGCCCGTTTAGTTCACTGATTTGAATTAAGATGTGAATTTATATAAAATTTTTTTACTATAGTAAAAAAGTTAAATGTGACTGTTTCTGAGAGTTTTTTACTGTAGCAAAACTCGAATCGGTAAAATGAACGAGACCTAAGAGTAGTTCTAGCCACACTAACTCTAGATCTCAATTATTTTATACAAACTTACATGTATTGAATTGTCATTTTTTTTACTAGTGAATATAATCAATTATTATTGATTGACATGATAATATTTTAAAATATTAATAAAATAATTGCAGCTCACACCCATAAATTAGTGTAAAAAAATTAGAATTAGAGTTGATGTCTCTACCGGTATAATTTCTAATATGTACTCTAATTTTGAATTAGTTATAATATTTAGTACAAATACAGGAATCCGTCACATCATACTTAAATAATATTGATACATAAACCCGATAAAGGCGTAGCTGATCAAGAATTAAATCATAATAATCGGGACTGGAAGGTATATTATTAGGCATACCTTGGCCCTTCCTAAGGCCATAGTGAGGACACTGTAGACAATTTGCATAATTGCCACCACAAAGATTAAGTTGTTGAGCTGGTTGATCCCCTCCTGTGATATAAATGACGTCTTTCCCTGCATTCAATCGTTTTAAAAAACTCACTTGAAATGAGACGGAAATAGGCAACGCAAACTATATAATCTTTTCATGAGATCACACACACAATACAGGGAACGAGGGGAAAAAAAAAAAGGGAACATCAAATTTGATATCCCCGGTAAAAATGTGGTATTGTTTCTTTTTTCTTGAAGGAATTAGTAATTGGTGTTATTGTTTTCCACTTAATTACGAGAACAAACATCAAATTTACTTATATATCCATATCAAGCCAGTGACCCTTTAAGAGTATATTTTAGTAATCAGATTGATAATATTATTATATTATTATTATATATATGGGGAATTCACTGTTCATTGTATAGTAAATGAACAGTGAATTTCCCCTTTTGCCCTTTTTTTATTTTCTCTTTTAAATTTGCATTTTGATCCTTCCTCCTCCTGCCCTTTCTGCTCAGGGGTGTTATAGTCTTTTTGCTGTTTAATGTTTTGAATTTACGTTTTTGTCTTTGTCTGTTTACTTTACGGTTTGTCTTGGCTTGAGTTTTTTTCGTCATTTTTGTGTGACTGAGGCTTTAACCTCTATTGTTTACTTAGGATGTTTGACAGAGGAATTCGTTCCCTGATTTAAATCATGATTCATGATTCGTAACAGTATTTTTTCTCATAAAAAATTCACGTAAATTGAAAATGATTCGAATCATGAATCGTCACAAAAAATTCACATAATATACAAACCTTTTTAGTAAATCTTTAAAGAAATATATGTATATATATATATGTATGTATATATATTAAAAATTTCTAACCTCCTCTGTGATATAACAATCTTCTCCCAGTAAGTAACGCGCGGGTAAAAAACTAGTTTCTATTCTAATTTTAATGGACATTAGAAAGCAGAGAATTGGATTGTTTAAACAATTAATACTTGAAAATTTGTATTTTTTTCCCTTTACTTTGTTTTCGAAACAATTACCTTCTCAATTACATTCCATTACTAAAAAACCAAAATAATAATAATAATAATAATAACATAGGATTATTGTACGGGTAAATATGTACCTGGGATTCACAGTGATCAGAGCTGGAAGCGCCTGATCCCGCCAATCTTCTTCCTGGTTTTTCCGACAAATCTTCCATAAGCAGCACTGCAAGAGCTTTGGTAGTTTTGGTGGGTCCACTTTTCCGGCATGGAAGCATGGTGTATGCGACTTTTGTGGGTATGCATATTTTGGAGATGGGTCTTTGAGTCACGGCCAATAACAAAGACATGAAACCCAGCAGTATGAGCACTGCAATAATAATATGAATTATAATGTTCATTATTAATTATAATGTTATATTCCCAGAATTTGAATATTCAATACTAAACCTTAAAACAAATAAAACATCAAAAAGATTGAGATAAAAATGTCGAAGCTCCAACCTGATTTGAGCTTCTCCACGGCCTCAAATAAAGCAGTCTTTCTGTGTTTTTTAAGCCACTGCATATAAACATAGCCCACAAAAAAAAAAAACAACATGAAATAAAAACTTAAAAACTCTTCTAATTAAGCTAAATATTGAAAACACCGCAACAATATATAAATTAGCTAGTTTAATGTAGTAATTAATTACGTACGTTGGAAATTAGATGGATTAAGTGTTCGATCAAGATGGAGAGGGAAATGAAGATGAAGCAAACTGTAGCGAGAGCCCAAGTGGGTGTGTCCTGAAGAGATCGAGAAGTAGTACTACTGGATCCAGTCGCCATAATATCGTCGTCAATTTGATGTGTTTTTGGCGTGAGACGTTTGATATCATTCACAAGAACACTAAAGCTCGTTAGGACGATTATAGTTGTATTGTACTTAAAAAAGGGCCAAGAAGAAGAATCGATCAAGACGTTTTTTTTTTTTTTTTTTGAAAAAAAAAGGTAGACAATGAAGAAATGTTCAAAGCTTCAAGTTCAAAAAAAATGTTCAAAGCTTCAAGTTCAAAAAAATGTTCAAAGAAAAAGGAAAAAAAAATGAAAAGAAAAGAAATGTTCAAAGCTTCAATTTCAAAGTGACTTAATAAGTCGGTCACTTATGGTCATGGTCATGGAAGTCTTTGTGGTTTGCACTTGGTGAAGGCCATATCTATTAATACTTTCGTTGGATGTTGACACGGTTGGTTTGATCAAACTTGCTTATTGTCTGTATAATAAGTAATGTGGGACCGTTGTTGTCAAAACAGAAAAGCGCGGTCTAAATTATTAGGAAGGCCACCGCTTTTGTGAGTGTTCAGCATAATACGATACGGTATGCCACCAGCATAAATGAGGCGCACAAGAGCCACTAGCACGAGATAGATTTTCACTTGGAAGTGATTCGCTAACTAGCGCTTCGCCTCTTCTTATGCCTCTCGGGAGGAAGATTCTTGCTACTCCCATGTGTTATTCGCTTCGTGAATTTTAATTTTAAATTCGAGCTAAGATATGATATTTTTTAAAAGGTTTTAACTATAGTAGAAAAAAATTTAATGTGACATTTTTTAAAAAATTTTAACTATAAAAACTTAAAATTAAAAACTCAAATAAATGAAATAAATAATACCTTAGAGATTCTAGAAGATAAATTTGTTACCGACCTTGGGATTTTCAACTTTTTATGACGCAGGGAAAAATTATTCTTAACAAAAAGGCCAACAATAGAATTGGTTTTATTATATAGAATATTAATTAATGATTGAGGACACTGCACGCGCCTAATTAATTAAATACCGGCAATGACTACCTAAGTTGTAACTATTAGAACACTAGAAGTCAATCTTTTCTGCAACAATTAATGCTCTTTCTTTCTTCCAATTCTAGTTTGAGGACGTGCCCAAGAGTATCAAAAATTTATCTTGCATGGTTTTTTTCCACAAAAATTCTATTAAAAATTATTACTATCAAGTATGATTAATAATGTTGACATAGAGAATCATTTTTTAATTATTTCTTCTAATGTATATACATTTCCAAGTCTAAAGATGCAATCTTTAATAGTTATATCCAATCTATATTAGTTTTTCATTTTGACAATAATATTATAATAGCTTTTTAAAATAATAGTTGTGTAATCTACAAAAATAATGAAATTTAACATATATATGTAAAATGATGATTAGACAAAAATCAACAAATTTATATTACATACAATGATAGTTGAATACAAAAAGTTGAAAAATAAATACATATTCTCTTCTATATATAATATAGATACATAGTATATAACATAGTAATTCATAAATAAAAATATGTATGAAACTCAAAAAAAAAAAAAAAAAAAAAGCTAGCAAGCAAGCAAGAAGAAAAGCTTAAAAGGCTTATTCTCCTTTCTTATATAGAGAATATATATAGATTGCCTTATGATCAATTTACTCTGCACTCCTCCTATACTATAGATATATAAGAAGAGAGAATAGCATTTTTTTTTTTTTTTTGTTTTACACTTAACTGCTTGGCTACTCTTTTTTTTCTTTCTTTTTTTTTTTTTAGAAAATCTTGTATTTAGAATGTTTCCCTATTAAAAACTTTTTTCACTGATTTTCCCAATAACATATTTTTATTTCAAATATATCTCAACTTCAATATTCACGCCGTAATTTAAAATGTCAGTTTTTTAAAATGGGTTTTAATAAATTCTTTTTTTAACAAATTTCCCACTAAAATATATATTTTTTCAAGTTTGTCCATTTTGTTATTTCAACTTCTAGCTTTCCTCATTTTTTTCTTTTAAAAAGTTGTTTTTTTTTTCTATGCTTTAATATATAGTATACTTATTTTACCATCTAACATGTAATTGTTAATCTCTTAAAGTTATTAGACCTACGTTTGTAATAATTATTTGTCATATTGTTATTATCAGTTTACGTAATTAAATTTTTTGGTTGTGTTAACAAAATTGTGTTAGCAATTCTATTATTTTTGTAAGTGATACTCTTATTGAGACCAACACATAATGTTGCAATTCTCTTGTTCTCTCGCAATGTTACCATTTGTACGATTCTAAATGTGTCATTACGTAATAATTTTATTGATTTTCATATTTTAATTGTTTTCCACGTTATTTCAATTAAATCGTGTAATAACCTACTGTTGAAAATCTTGAAGGAAAGAAGACTTGAAACACGTAGAAAGTACGCTTTCCTTAAAGCGTAATTTGTCCCCTCTCGTTAGAGATTGCTTCGGGTTCTCAGCAAATCGCTCGCAGGCTATGACAAGCCTTCAAGTTGTTAATCACAAGCAAAATGACAACAACACTAAGAACACAAGAAACTCTTTGAATTTCTAAAAATTTTTGAACAAGAAGAGAGAAGAATTTCAGAGTATTATTTCTCACTTATTTATCAGCAATTATTGTTCTTTTTATAGTTTTTTATCACACCATTACGTACAGATACAACCAAACTTGAAAAGGTACATTTCCCATTTTAATTGGTGTCAATTTAAGTTTCAAAAAACGTATCTGAACGTTACGGCGCTGCGGCACCAGTTTCGGGCGCTGCAGCTCCAGTTTCTGGAAAACCAGAAATCGTCCGCGCAAGCCAGAGTGCCGCGGCGCCCAAACTCAACGCCGCAACGCTATGCTCTCTGCCAGTCCAGCGCCGTGGTGCCCAAATGCAGCGCCAAAGCACCAGGCTTGCTGGAAATTTTGTCCAGTCCAGCGCCGCGGCGCCCAAATGCAGCGCCAAAGCGCCAGGCTTGCTAGAAATTTTGTCCACTTTTAGATGTGATAAAACTTAACAAATTCTTAAATGTTATATTTAAACAATCCCAACAATCCCCCACTTGTTTAAATATAATATTGAAGAATTCTATCTAGAAACTGTATATATGCATAAAGTAAAATATCTTTCGATTTAAATTTTACCTTAGTGTAAGTTTCACAAATGTATTTCGGAATCCCAGGTAGCCTAAGGCTTTGAACTAGTTATTCCTTATGATAATACCGGTGAATCCACACACATAAATACATTAGAGTTCAAGTATTCTACACAACACTCGATTTGCACTATTCATGGCCTTGTGCAATCCTGATTCATAAACTTTTCAAAGAGAAACTCCAACTTTTCTTTGAGGCGGCACCACCTCTAAGTTTACATAGGTGAAGTTCTTCCAGTATCTTTGTTACTTTTAAGATACTTGTTCTTAAAACTGAACTTCATTAAGAGTTAATGTTAACCCATCCCTCACACAGTAACAACCAGCACTAAAATTCTTTTTGGGCTTAATGGTTAGTGCTGAAACTCTCCACTTATCAATGATTTGTTATTACCCATTGAATCTAAAATTACTCATTTCATAATGTTAGATTGGGTTGCCATCATTGGTGGATTTTAATCCAGGAGTTTTAATCACATCCCATTTGACGTCGTCCTTACTAAATCTCTCGAAAGAGCTTTAGTGAAAGGATCTGTCAAATTTTCAATGAATTTCACATATGTAAGAGAAATTATTCCATCTTTGATTAATTTTCTTACATAATCATGTCTAAGACTCATATGTCTTGACTTTTCATTGTATATCTCGATGTATGCCCGAGCTAAAGTGGCTTGACTATCACAATGTATTGATATCGATGATACATCCTTCATAGTCAAAGGAATTTTCAATAATAGATCCCTTAGCCACTATGCTTCATTCCCAGCTGTTGCTAATGCAATAAATTCTGACTCCATAGTTGAGTGTGTTATACATGTATGTTTCTTGGATTTCTAAGAAATAGCACCTCCTCCTAAAATGAACACCCAACCAGTCGTTGATTTGTTATCTCCAATACTTGATATCCAGCTTGCATTTGTATATCTTTCTAGAACAGCAGGGAATTTTGAATATTGGAGACCTAAGTTTTTTATTTTCAATAGATAACCTAAAACTTTACCAATGATCTTTCAATGTTCAACACTTGGATTGCTAGTAAATCTACTCAATTTACTAACAGCAAATGCTATGTCAAGTCTTGTGTACTGCACTGCATACATAAGACAATCAATAGCACTTGCATACTCAAGTTGAGCCATTGCTCTTCCATCATTCTTGAAAAGTTTTACACTAGGATCAAATGGAGTACTAGCTTCCTTTATCTTTAAGTGACTGAACATTTTTACATTTTTTCAATATAGTGTGATTGGGTTAGAGCGTAACCCCCACTATTCAGTCTAACTTTGATACCCAGTATTGTATCCACTTGACCACGATCTTTCATCATGAATGGGGATGATAGAAACCTCTTCGTTTCTTCTATGCCTTTCATGTCATTGCACACAATTAGCATATCATCAACATAAAGACATACAAAGATAATACACTTATTACACACCTTTGTATATAAGCATTTATATGAGGTATTATGAACAAAACCATTTGAAAGTATAGCTGAATCAAACTTTTCATGCCATTATTTTGGTGCTTGTTTCAATCCATACAAAGATTTTACAAGTTTACACACTTTATGTTCATTTCTTGGTAGAACAAAACCTTCTGGTTGTTCCATATAGACCTCCTCATTGAGATCACCGTTTAATAATGCCGTCTTGACATCCATTTGATGAACATAGAGACTATGGATTGATGCCAATGCAAACAATATCCTAATAGTCGTTATTCGTGCTACAGGTGCATATGTATCAAAATAGTCAATTCCTTCTTTTTGTCGATACCCTTTGGCTACCAATCTAGCCTTAAAAGTGTTTAAAGTACCATCGGTATGATACTTTCTCCTAAACACCCATTTACAACCAATAGGTTTGGAACCTGGTCGTAAATCGACAAGCTCTCAAGTGTGGTTTGACATTATTGAATTCATCTCATCATTGATAGCATCCTTCCAAAAAACCGAATCTCTAGAAGCCATCGCTTCCTTAAAAGTTTTGGGATTATCCTCCACTTGTAATATCATAGGA